ATAAAAAATATGCATAAACATACCCCTAGTCTAGAGGCGCTGCCCAGAGAGCAGAAGAGATGAGCAGGAATACAGAGCACAGACAGAGTGGCCAAGTCTGGGCTTTTCTAGAGACCTGTTCCCTGTGCTCGGGGGACAAGGGGCTGGGAGTACTAGGCTGCTGGCCAAGTGAGGTACTCCAAGTAGGTTTGAGGAATCCATTTCTGATTATTCACTGTCCATGTAAGAAAGAGCCTCAAGTAGCAAGAGCTATGCCCTACAACTAAGTAATAAAGTACAGAACAGCATCAGGGAAGATGCTCACTGAGCACAGATAATCCTTTGTCTCCTGTCCTCAGGTTTCCAGTTATTTAGGCAGGAAAATGCACCCTAGAGTGGCTTTGGAAGTAGGAGGACGCCAGACATTTACACCCATGTGGAATTGAACGTGGACCTGTGCATTGAGCCAGTGCACTCGCCCTGTCTTGTGACCCCTCTGTGGTGCAGACCAGAAGATGGGTGTTTGTCTCCACCACTTCCTGTACTTCCTCTGCAATGATGCTCACTGCACTTTATTAGTGATTGTTAAGCTTGTATATCACATATTGCTCTCTTCTCATGATATATGGACATAATAAGATGTTTATACATGAGACAAAATACCTGATGACCAATACTCCTCCAAACCATCAAGGTCATCAAAAACAAAACCTGCGAAACTGTCACAGCAAGAGAAGTCTGAAACATGTTGACTAAATGTGATGTGGTATTCTGCATGAGATCCTGGAATAGAGAAAGAGCGTTAGCTAAGAAGCGAGGAAGTCTAAACAAAGGATGGACTTCAGTTCATAGTAATGTATCAATAAGGTTCATTCATTGTGGCAAGCATGTCCTGCTAATCTAAGATGCTAATAATAAAGGTAACTGGGGGTAGAATATGTGAGGACACTCTGTATTCTATCAGCAATTTTTCTGTAATCTAAAACTCTTCTGAAATAAAACATTTATTAAGAAAACCTCAAATGATATCCAAGCACCTTTGTGCCCTCCTTTTCCCAGCTGGTGGCTCATGATGGATCTGACTCTCCACTTGCCTTGTGTATTCCCAATAAGAGACTTCCTCTCCTTTCCAAGCCTAGAGTCATAGAACACACTGTTGCCTGGCGGTGAGAAACCCGACATCTAGTCCCACTTTTGCCACTATCCTGCTGTGTGACCATGTGTCAATCATTTCCGCCTTCCAACCATGGGCCTCAGTTTACCCCTCTGTTCAATGAGAAAGTAAGACTAGAAGGTGCTTCTGATTGGTCCATGAAGGCAGGAATGGTGTCTGGCCCATGGCAGCATCTCCAGCTCCTAAGATAGTCCCAGGCACATAGCAGACACTGAATAAAAAATAGCATTTAATGCATAAATAAATGAGCATTGCTCTGATATTCTAGCACTCTAACTAGAAGTTGAAGCTTCTAGAGTCAGCCCAGCATCTCAGAACCTCCTTTCTTGTGCACTTGATTGTAAGCGGCCTGGGTCATGTCTTTGTGTCTGTCTCCAGCATTGTGCATGAAGACTTTATAAGCATTTGGGCAATGACTGAGAAGAGCTGGCCCTGCCAGATGAGGCCCTGCAAGTGTTGAACTCCCTGGAATGCAAGACCGTGGTGCCTGCTGAGACCGTGGGGAGGTGTGGCACATCTAGGGCTTATCACCCTGGGGGTCATCCGGGCTTCTGGAGGTGGAAAGGATCTTCCCATGGGATCTATCATCCCCTTTTTAAAAAGCTCAGAGTGAATTAGGAGCCCCTGGAAGATAACTTAGACGAAGACAGCTGAAACCCAGGGAGGGAAGAAACTTGCAGAGAAAGAAAAGAAAAGAAAGAGAAAGAAAGGAAGGAAAAAAGAAAGAAGAGAGAAAGAGAAAGAAAGAAAAAAGAAAGAAAGAAAGAAAGAAAGAAAGAAAGAAAGAAAGAAAGAAAGAAAGAAAGAAAGAAAGGGAGAGAGAAGGAAGGAAAGAAAATAAAAACGTCCTGCCCACCCCCCAATTGTCTAGAGACCTGGATTCTAGCCCCAACCCCCAGACTTCTCGGCATCATTGCCATGACAATTGGGCAAGATTTTATCTGTGCCTCTAGCCGGCCAACCTCCCAGAGTTGGGGTTGGGGTGAGTAAAAACAAGGGTGAGAGTTGGTTCCAGTTCCTCAAAGGGGCTGTGTTCTCCCTGGGCAATTCCTCTGCCCAGAACATTTTCCCCACTAACTGCTCACGCTCCATGCCTCAGAGCAGGCTCCCGGCAGGCACTGTGGCTGTAAAGCCTCTAAAGTCTCCCCTGACGCCCTGCCTGAGTCATTCCATCGTCTCCATCACAGGCCCTCTAACACTTGGAAGACTTCACGGTTCCCTTAGAACTCTCCACCCCAGGCTGTAATCGCCCATTGCACTGTCGGCCTCCACAGCCAACTGTGAGCCCACCCGAGCCCCCTCACCATTTGGTCCTGCGACCAGCACAGTGCTTGGCACGTATGTGATAAATAAGGACTTGGGGAACAGATGAATGAATGAGTGAATAAATGAAGATGTGAGTGAACGAGTGAATTAGTAAGTGCCGTCGCAGCCAAGGGAAGTCGAAAATTGTGTCATGTTTTGAATAGCTTACCTCACATTTCCCAGGAGACTTGCTGAGGTTTTTTTTTTTTTTTTACAGCATCTGTAAAAATAATAATAGTAGCTCCAACAGCCTGTTGTTACTGTTGTAAATTCCCAAAGGGCTTTCCCTTTGAGGTGTCTTTGAGAAGAGTGGGAGCAGGCACTGATTCTCTGCCCCCAGTCTCGATCCTTCCCTCCCAGTGTCTTCTTCCCACCTCTGTGCTCCCTCTCAGTCCTGGTTTCTCTCCCCTCACTCTGCCTCTCTCTCTTTCACTCTTTGTCTCTGTTTCTTTCTCTCTTCACTGTCCCTATCTCTGTCTCTCTCTTTCATTATCTCTGCCTGTTTCTCTCTCTTCCCTCTCTCTCAAGCTCTCTCTCTCATCTTTCTCTCCCTCTCCCTCTGTCTCTTTCACTATTTCTGCCTCTGTTTCTCTCTTCTCAATCTCTCTCTGTGTCTCTCTCTCCCTGCCTCTCCCTCCTTTGTCTCTCTCTCTCTGTGTACCTGATTTACTCTCTCTTCTCTCTCTCTCTCAGTCTCTCTCCTTTTCTCTCAATTCCTCTCTCCCTGCCTCTGTATCTCTCTTTCACCATCTCTGCCTGTTTCTCTCTCCTACACTTCATTTTTCTCTTTCTCTCCCTCTCTCCTTGTTTCTATGTTTCTCTTCACTATCTCACCTCTCTCTCTCTTCCTTCTCTACCCCTCTCTCTTCGCCTCCCTGCCCTGTCTCTGTCTTTTGAATACTCTCCACCATTTCCCTCCCTATCCCCATTCACTCTCCATTGTGTGCGAGGCATCTCACAGAGAAGATCTCACTTTCCTTCCCAGACACCTGGTGCTACCTCGTTTGTACTTTGGGAGAAACACCTGCTGGCCATGGTCAAGAATGCGGGCGTTAGGCTCAGGAGCCAGATTCAGCTGATTTCAGGCTCAGCTCTTCCACTTACTAACTTGTTACCTTGGTCAAGGGGTCTGACTAATCTCTCCCAGCCTCAGCTTCCTTATCAGCAAAATGAGGTGAAAATGTGCCCTCTCAAAGGACAGCTGCAATGATTAAATGATGTAATGCTTGGGAAATGCTTAGTACAGTGGCAAAGCTCCATAAATGTGAGCTGTCTCGTTACTATCAGTTCTATTGGCTGTTTTTGCATTGTCTGCAAATGTTATTAATACCCGGGAGATCATTGCTGAAGATGATAAACACCTCTGGACTGAATAGCCCCTCCACTACACCAACCCCAGGATCATTTCAGCCCCTTCCTACCTCCCCCAAATAGAAGACCATCAGAGCCCAGTTGATTCTGGTTCTGACTCTCCGGTCTTCTGTGCCCACTTTAATTTGGACAGAATCTATCTGGATAGAGATTCCCTAAGCCTGGCTTTCTTCCAAAAATTATCTGAGGAGCTTTTAGTAATTGTAAACATGTTGGGTGAGTCAAGGAGATTCTGACTCCATAGGTCTGGGGTGACATCCAGGAATTGGGTATTTTCAAATCAGAGTGACTCTGATTGGAGAAAAGGGATTCCAGCTTCTGGTCTAAAGTTGGTGGCTACTCAAGTGATACTAAGTGAATCAGTCAATAGGAGATGGTAAATGAACAAAGGCATAAATGAGTAGATGGATGGATGCATGGATGGATGGATGGATGGATGGATGGATGATGGATGGATGAATGGATGCATTCATGGATGGATGGATAGATGCATGCATGCATGGATGGATAGACGGATGGACGGATGGATGGATGCATGGATGCATGGATGGATAGATGGATGCATGAATGGATGGATGGATGGATGAATGGATGGATGGATGGATAGATGAATGGATGGATGGATGGATGGATGGATGGATGGATGGATGGATGCATGGATGGATGGATGCATGGATGGATGGATGGATGGATGCATGGATGGATAGATGAATGGATTGCATGGATGGATGGATGGATGCATGGATGGATGGATGGATGCATGAATGGATAGATGGATGGATAAATGGATGGATGGATGGATACATGGATGGACAGATGGATGGACACATGGACAATAAGTCTACCTCCATGGGAAGAAATGCTGGTATTTTCCCCAGACCTATGCTCTGGCCTCCAAAATGTGTGTCCTTTTGTTCTGTGACTTTTCAGAACACAACACTTGGCTGCTCCCCTGTTCCTTTACTTTCCTTTCTCTGCACCTAAATCCCAGCCTTTCCCTTTCCTGGTGCCTGTTTCCTCCATCCTCTCTTCCTCCTCACTCCACCCCCTCCTTTTAGCTCCCACTTCTCTCCATGGCTTCCCCCTCACCAGGCTGAAACATTTGCAAGCTGGAGGTTCTTTTCTTATTATCCCAAGACACTTTTGTGGGAAGAGACTTTGGACACAACAGTTGCACAAACAGTTTTATTTGATGAACCACAGTGACTAAGAGGCTTGGAAGACGGTGCGGACATTCTGAAGAAGGCACTGGGAGAGGGAAGGGGCTTCACAGCAGGCAGCCTCCTCTGCTTCTGTCCCAGACCACAGGTGAGTTCCAGGCAGAAGTCTCTGTAGGTTACCCACAGAGGCCTCAGAGAGACACCCTCTTCCCTTATAGAAACCTCTCCCAGTGTTCACTGGGTGCTTTGAGCACAGCTCTGGGCAGTAGAGGTGACTCTGCAGAAGATGCCATCTTAATACAGGAAGACTAGGCTGAGAGGATTCCCTTCTCCTCTCCTCCTCCCTCTGCCCCCAGAGCTGGCGCCATTCCAGGGAGGGTCAAGATGTCCATTTGCATCAAGGTGGGCTTTTCGTATCTCCATTGCTCTTGTCTTGTCCTTCACTTCCAGAGTCCTCCAAGAACAAAACCCAGAATAGACACCCCCCGCCTCTAGCTCACAAAGGCTCCACCATGAATTTCATCCTCATGATCTCTATGGCGGTGTGAAAATCATGCCATCTGCCCCTTCTTGCCTGTTCCAGTCTCTATTCCTGGCTCCCCACCCAGCAGAAGCCAAGAGGTCCAATCCTGAGGGTAGGGACAGAAAAAACCCACCCAGTGCCTTTCAGCCCATGGCAAGCAGGGGGCCTCCTTAGGAAGAGGGCCACTGACCCTGGAACAAGGAAGGATGATGAGGGCAGTGCCCATACATTTGAAGCCAGGTGGGAGGCACCGGAAAGGGGCCAAGAGAGGCTCTCAACCAGCCTCTTCCTTCCTTCATGGAGCCCAGAAAGGAGCAGGAACCCAGCTCAGTAGGCTGCTCCCAAGCCTTGGCGCCAGCTGCTTTGGGGAGGGACCTCCCTACAGGAAGCCTGGTGCAAACATTAACTTCTCTCCTACAGCACGGACCAGCCGTTGGAGCCCCCAAATCCAATGGGGGGTGGACTCATTTTTATTCTACATTCTTCATTGCCTCAGTGTGTCCCTACCCAGCCCCACCCCACCACCCCCTGCCAAGGGTCATGTGTGAACAGCAGAGGCAGTGGAGTTGGGGATGGGAGGGGGTTCATCCAAGTGACCCAGACACACCACTGTTCATGCCAGGCTCGTCCATATAGACATATAAGTACACACACACAGACAAGAAGCAGGCATCTCCACCACAACCAGTGTTACTCTTGGCACCAAGTAGCACCAGTGCCCAAAAAACAAATTGAAATGATGGGGCAAGATGGGGAAATGGAGAAAACCTTCAGCTCACAGTTTTGCAGGAAGTCAGAGAGATGAGGACCTGGGGAGGAAGCCAAGCAACGTCTAGACTAAATGCAAACGCCCCTCCATCCTCTCTCTCTCTCTCTCTCTCTCTCTCTCTCTCTCTCTCTCTCTCTCTCTCTCTCTCTGTTTCCCTTCCCAACTCCCCACTCACATAGTGAAACTAAGGAGCATGTCCATTCATCAGCCCTGCTGCCTTCCAATTCCCAGAGAAAATAGAGGAAGGATGAAAGGGTCTGCAGAAAATTTGGAGAATGCATCTCTAGTCAGTGTCACGGTCCCAAGGAGGGACTGCAGGAATCACACTAGCATTTCCTGAAATGACAGGGAAGTGATCCAATCTTAGGGCAAGGTCTGGAGCACCCGGCTCTAAGGGCTGGAGCGCTAACTCTCTGCGGACACACAGCCCACCCCTGCCCCAGCCCATTCCCTGCCTCACACTCAGAAAACAGGATAGAGAGCTTACACAGGGCCAGTCTCCGCAAGCTTTGGGATCCTTAACCCTTAGTAGCCCTTCAGAGCAGGAAAGTAGGCAAGGGAGAAGGAGGGATGGAGACAGGGGGATGAGCTGCAGGAGGGGATTGGTGCCAGAAGGCAGGGATGAGGAGTGACAGCTGCAGAGAGTGGTGAGGGGGAAAAAAATACATGGAAAGGAGAGAGAAAAGACGGCTGCAGATCTAAGAAAGCAGTGGAGGGAAATAAGCTTTTATCGAGTCCAGACTCAGGCTCAACATTTTAGGGTCAATACGACTTTCCCCATTTCATACCAATGGAGAAACTGAGGCTGAGTGAGATGAAACAGCTTGTGTACAGTCAGGTCTATAGGACCCAGTCTCTTTCCCCTAAAGCACAAATCTCTGAGAAAGAATAAAAAAGTAGAGGAGGACAGCGTGGGACGGGAGTCAGGGGGCAGTGAAAGGACGTGCAGGGAGAAGGTGTAGCCACACTACCTGGTTTTCAGAAAGCAAGGGCAAAGGCTGGGGAGGGCCGAGGGAACCAGGCTTCTCTCTGCTCCCGGCCCTAGTCAACCACGAGGGTCTCCTGGCTGTAGGGGATGGATTTCTCGTGCATCTGCTCTCCACCCTTGCCCATGTTGGGGCCGGGCCCCTGGCTGTGCCCCGAAGAGTAGCTGGCTGACTTCTCCCCACTGCTGCTGTGGGAGGTGCCTGCGCACCTGCTGTGGCCACAGCAGAGCATGGAGGTGCAGGACTGGCGGAAGCGGGGGTCGAAGAAGGCGTAGAGGAAGGGGTTGAGGCAGCTGTTGATGTAGCTGATGCAGGTGCAGTAGGGGAAGACGTTCATGAGGAAGAGGTCGAAGTCACAGGGCCAGTGCAGCAGGCTGCCCAGCATGTACAGCGTCTTCACCAGGTGGTAGGGCATCCAACACAGGGCAAAGGTCACCACCAGCACCACGATGATGCTCAGCAGCCGGCGCCGCTTCCGCAGGCCCTCGATTCGCTCCTTGCGGAAGTGACCAGCAATGGTTTGGGCGATGAAGAAGTAACAGGTCAGCATGATGGTGAAGGGCACCACGAAGCCTACGGCGGTGGACGAGACCCCCAGGCCCACCTCCCAGGCCCACTCCGAGTTCACGGTGGCCACCACGGAGTAGTCCATGTAGCATTGCACCTTGGTGGTGTTCTCCAGGTCCCCGGTGGTGCGGAACACCATGACGGGCATGGCCAGGAGGGCAGCCAGCACCCACAGGACCGCCGTGGCCACAGCCCCACTGACCCGCAGCCTCAGCCGAGCATTGGCCACCGGCCTCACGATAGCCAGGTAGCGGTCGAAGCTGAGGCCGGTGAGGCAGAAGACGCTGGCATACATGTTGACGAAGATGAGGTAGCTGCTGAGCTTGCAGGAGAAGGTCCCAAAGGGCCAGTCATAGTCCCGGTATGTGTAGGTGGCCCACAAGGGCAGCGTCACCACGAAGGTCAGGTCAGCCACCGCCAGGCTAGCGATGAAGATATCAGCTGAACGCCTCTTCTCCCGGCTGGTCCGAAACACGGTCCAGAGCACCAGACCGTTGCCCGAGGTGCCCAGGAGGAAGACCAACATGTAGATGGCAGGGATGAGGGCCCCCGAGGATTTCCAGTCTGTGTACTCACACTCAGACTGGTTGTCCGCCCCATAGTAGTTGTCAAAATCACCACCTTCCTCCATGCTGGGGAGTGGAGAGAAGACGGGCAGGGGGTCCCAGGCACACCGGCTCCGTGGCTCTATCACCCACTCTGCAAGCACCCTGAATTTCCGGCTTGAGCCTCAGACGGTAGAAGGGCTGAAGGTGCCCAGAGTCCTTCCCAGCACGCAGGAGGAGCTGCCTCTGGGTTCTCCAGACCCTGGAGGAAGCCTCTCTCCTGCAGACCTTCCTCCACTGTCGCCTGCCTTGCCCCGTCTCAGTTAAGACGCTTCCTCGCACCCTCCTGAGTCCCAGTCTCCTCCTTGACTTGTCACTGCCTCCTCCCACCTCCAGACCAGCCCCTCTCCTGTGAGTCCAGATCTTTAAGTGACAGCCCACTTTTTTTTTTCTTTTTGTCACTTGGCAAGTGGACCAAACTGACCCCTACTGTGCTGGGCTGAACATTATCTGTGCTTTCGCAAGTCCGCTCCCCTGGCCCCGCCTCCCCACTCTGGCTGCCACCGGTCTTCACCCCAGCCTCTACCCCTCCAGTGTCCTCGGGCCACCACTTCCTGCCTGCCCTTTAGGGCACTCCCTCACTCTCTCCTCAGGGGTCTCCGCTCTCCCCGTTCTCACCCCCACCCGTCCAATCTAAGTGGGACACATTGTGCAGATTGCAATCCAGCCTGAGCTGGAGCTAGGGCTGGTAGGGAGCAAGGAGGGGGTGAGATTTTGCAGGATGGTCAGGGCATCTGGCAGGACCTCCTGGCAGACGGGTCTGGCCCCCTCGGCTCCCTTTTTGCACCCCCAGCCCCCACACAGACCAGGTGTCACAGGAGGGCCTTCTCCTTCTTTGCCTCTCACTTCATCTTCCTCTACCTCTTGGCTCTGACCCTTCCTCTTTCATGGTTTATACAAAGAGATTTCTAGAGAAATCCCCCTACACTCGTAAAGATAGCAATTTGCAGTTTGCAGATGGCACAGGATGCTTTAGAAGGTTAAGGACAGAGTCATGGGATGGGAGAAACCCAGGACAAAATTCTCTCTCAGCAAGTGATTAAATCTACAGGAAACTAAGGCCCAGCAAGGTCAACGTTTTGCCCAAGGTAATAAAGTGAATTCTGCTACAGTTGATTATTCGCTTTTCTTCTTCTCCAAGCACGTAACACAATGCCCAGCATGTCATAGGTGAATGGCTGATTTTTTGGTTATTGTTGTTGTTTGGAAGTGTTTTGCTCTTGTAGCCCAGGCTGGAGTGCAGTGGCACCATCTCAGCTCACTGCAACCTCCACCTCCCGGGTTCAAGTGATTCTCCTGCCTCAGTTTCCCAAGTAGCTGGGATTAAAGACACCTGCCACCATGCCCGGCTGATTTTTTTTGTATTTTTAGTAGAGACGGGGTTTCATCATATTGGCCAGGCTGGTCTCAAACTCCTGACCTCAGATGACCCACCCACCTCAGCCTCCCAGAGTGCTGGAATTACACGCGTGAGCCACCACACCTGGTCAGGTGAATGAATGGCTGTTGAGTAAGTGGATGGATGAATTAGGGGGTGAGTGAAAAAGAGGAATCCATAGATGGAGGAATGAATGTATGAATTACTACATGGCAAGAACATGGATACATTCCAGTTCTCAGATTTTTACTAACCTCCTTATAGAGGTTTCTATAAGACCTCAGGGGGTCAGGAAGTTGAGCTAGAGAAGGAAGATCTCTAGGGAAAGACGCAGTCACTGGAGGACGCTGTGGAAAACATTCTGTAGAAGATCACTTTGCCCCTTCTCATCACCTCTCTGGGGCCTCTAGGCAGTAAGGAAGAAAGATGCATGGAAAGACTTTTTTAAAATACGCACCCTTTCCACTACCTCGAAGAGTTGGGGAAGCCACCTAAAGCTGGGTAACAGTGAGCTGGAACAAAATCAGAAGATGAGCCATGACCACTCAAAGGCAAAGGACTTACAAAAGCTGGAATTGCTGGGGCAGGGTAGTGCATGCTTATAATCCCAGCACTTTGGGAGGCTGAGGAAGTATGATTGCTTGAGCCAAGGAGTCCAAGACCAGCCTGGACAACACAGCAAGACCCTGTCTCATTATATACTTTTTTCTTAAGTTATTACAAAATCCTCCATTGTCTGGAGGGAGAGTGCATCAGAAAATCTTCTGCAGAGATCTTAAAATGGGGGCGTCCAACTCAAAAGCCAAGTTTGAGACAATAGAGAGTGGTGAAGACTGGCAAACTGGAGCGTGCCCATTCCATCTTAAGGAGGCCTCTTCAGCTCTAGTCTCTGATTGTTATGCAGAAAGCTGGACCCCAGCATGACTGAGTCTTATGGTTTTTCCAAGATAATTTCAAATTATGGATTTTTTTTTTTTTATTTGAGACAGAGTTTCCCTCTTGTTACCCAGGCTGGAGTGCAATGGCACGATCTTGGCTCACAGCAACCTCCGCCTCCTGGGTTCAGGCAATTCTCCTGCTTCAGCCTCCCAAGTAGCTGGGACTACAGGCGCACGCCACCATGTCCAGCTAATTTTTTGTATTTTTGGTAGAGACAGCGTTTCACCATGTTGACCAGGATGGTCTCAATCTCTTGACCTCGTGGGTGATCCACCCACCTCAGCCTCCCAAAGTGCTGGGATTACAGGCGTGAGCCACCGCGCCTGGCCCTCAAATTATGGATTTTTATAAGAAATCTCCATGTTTGTCAATGTTAGAAATCCATTTTAACTTAAAAAAAAAAAAAGCATAGACCATGATAAGTAAAACATGCTTTTGGCCCCCAAGTTTGTATTCTTTAAACAGGAGCTTGCCAAGAATAGAAGGTAGAAGAACAGAGAGGATGGGCCAGAAGGAGGAAACATAAAATGCAGAGGTAGAGAAAGCCTTAGAGTGCAGCGGGGAGATACAGGAGAGAAGGCTGGAGAGAGAAATCAGAAAGATCCCGTGACCTTTACCTGCGTGAGATGTGGAGAAATGAGTACGTTGGCGTTTCTCATGAGGACGGCATGTTGCCCCCTCGCTATGTGCCAGGCATTCTTCTAAACATTGCATACCTTTTACATATATTTATTATCTCTTTTAGTTGTCAAAACAACATCAGGAGGCAGGTGCTCTCATTGGCCTCAATTTACAGATGAGGCGCACAGAGGTGAAGCCAGTTAGCCAGGATCACCCCGCAGTCATTGTCAGAGCCAGAATTTGAACCAAAGCTGTCTTGAGCCCATGGACTAAACCACCATGTCCCCAATGAAACATGCCCAATCCTTTTTAAATTGGGGGGTGTGTCATCTGTTAAGCATTGTAGAAATGTAGAGTGATGCCAGGATACCTGTAATTTACCTTAAAATATGCTCTCCCAGTTGAGATTTTAAATAGAGTGACTACTTATAGACACTCCTCACACTTGATTAGACAGGGTCTAAGAATCCTGCCAGGCAATGATCCGTACATGTAAGGCTAGCACCAGAACTTGATCCAGAAACCACCTCGGGTCTAACCATTGCCAAAGAGAATTCCTGGTTGCCTGGTGCCAGCTAGGAAGCTAACAGGACTCTGCCTCTGGAATCTTGGCAGTCTGCACAGCGGGGGCTGCGACACCCAATAGGACCCAGAACGGGGGCTCCATCCATCTCACAGTACACAGGGTAGGAATTGTTTGGGGCCTCTTGCTCCTGCATTTTTGGCTAACAGAAGTTCTGTGCAGATGGCAGAATGGTTTTCATTATATCCCGACAGTATGGTTGGGCAGAAATATTAACCTGTGGCCACACCAGACTTCTTCAGTGGTAAGTTATCTTTACCTATCAAAGGGGACCTAGGAGTTGTGTAGGGACCAGTTTGGCTCAGGTGAGGGCATAATAGATGGCCCTTTTATGAGTAAACATTACTGCTTGGGACATTCCAGGATCAAGACCAAGTTTGGGACACCCGAGTGATCCCAGTTCTCCCATGATTCTCCCAGAAAGATGCAGGTGTCTGTGCCCTTTGCAGCTAGAAACACAGAGAGAAGGGAGTGAGTGAGCTTGGAGCATTCCTGAAATCAGATCCTTGTCTCCCTCCCCTCAGCTGTTCCCACTGGGGTGCTGAGCCAGACTGGAGCCTGGAGACCCTGTGGGAAAGGATATGGATCCATCCCTTTCATCTGCTGAGCTCCAGGCTCTCTGCCCTGGAGAGGGTAAAGAGCAGTTAATCTCACTAGAGGAACCAGACTCATTGAGAGGGGAGGGAATTGGGAACCACGGCTGGGAAGAGGCCACCATTTGGGACCAGACAGGGTAGAGTGCTGATAAGATCCGGCCTCCATACAGGAGCCAGCTGTAACCAGATGGCCTGAGTGCCCCCTGCAATGACAGCCTGAAGTGAGCAGAATTAGCCAGCTTACTCCTCATCCCGCCTGATCCCATCTGTCCCTGTTCCACACTGCACCATTCCACACAGAAGACAGGCTGGAAAATAGGATCAGTAGCTGAAGATGGACCTTGTAGGTCCCGAGGCTCAGAAGCTGCCCGCACACTAGACATATAAAAGGCCTGGGACAGATACCTGCTTTCCATTTCTGCCCCCTACCCAACTTGGCACCTGGTAAAATCTGTTGAATTAAAGTAACAAAAGTGCTGAAGTAATAGGGTGCTGAAGACTTGGGTCTTCACCCCAGAGCTGCGCTACTGTATTAACAAGGGGACTTTTGCTAAAGTGATCCAGGAAAATCTACTCTGAGCTATGTGGCCAGCCAACAGCTAAGGCAAGTCTGTTGGCCGGGGTGCCTGGAGCTGGACTGTGCTGGAGAGGACTGAACAGGTTTCCTGGGGAACGTCCCTCTCGCTCCAGGGTGATTTCTTCAGGGCATTGTGATGAGACTGAGATGAATGACACCTGGCAGAAAAGCACCCGGACCTGCTCCAGTGCCCTGTGAGGAGTGAGGAGAGCCCAGACTTCTGGGAGACCTCTGGAGTCAGTGGTTCAAAATCCCTCACCCACCCCACCCCCAGGTTTGTGCCTGGCTTCAAAAGCAGAGACTGACTTGGCTTGTGGCCATGGACATGCTGGCTATGTGTGCTTTGTGAATGCAAGTTTTTATGGTTTTATTTTTTTGAGATAGAGTCTCACTCTGTCACCAGGCTGGAGTACAATGGCGCGATCTCAGCTCACTGCAACCTCCATCTCCCAGGTTCAAGCAATTCTCCTGCCTCAGCCTCCCGAGTAGCTGGGATTACAGGCGCGTGCCACCATGTCCAGCTAATTTTTGTATTTTTACAAAATACATAGAGATGGGGTTTCACCATGTTGGCCAGGATGGTCTCGATCTCTTGACCTCGTGATCCGCTTGCCTGGGCCTCCCAAAGTGCTGGATTACAGATGTGAGCCACCGCGCCCAGCCTGTGAATGCAAGGTTTGTGTGTGAAGCCTGGAGGTGCTTGTGAGCAGGCTGGACTTGTGTGTGCATGGGGATATGAGTGTGTGTTGGTGCACGCATTCACGCATGTAGAAGAGTGAGCTTGCTTGTACATTAACGTGTACAGAAGAGTGTGCTTGTGTGTGTGTGTTGTAGGCATGAGTGTGCACTGAATGCACACATTCACCGGAGGCATGTATACTGGGTGCGCTTGCTTGTGGGCAGTGGGATCGGGGATCTGAATAAACATCTGGCTTGGAGTACAGGCAGGTGCTTCACTGGGGCTCTCTAAGAGTTTGGGGTGGGGGGAAGCTAAACCCCTCTGCTGGGACCTCACCCAGACCCACCCAAAGCTGTGGGCTGGAGACATCAAAGTGGAAGTACTGCCTTTCTGTCCCTTCCTGACTTCTCACCTCCTCCCTCCTAGCTCTGGCTCCAGCCCCCTCAATTCACAGGTCTGCTTTGAACTCCACAGCTTGGGAACTCACCAGGGCAACAGGGCCTTTTTCTCTCCTTCCCGAGAGGCAGCCACAGCTGTGTCCCTAACAGCTGGTGGTGTTATCTGAAGGAAAGGGGAAGGGGAAGGGAGGGCAGAGACACAGGCGGGATATAACTTGGCTGCCCGGCCCACACTTAGGAATTTCACTTCCCCTTTCTCCAGCAGCGAAACACCCCCCCCACCCCAGCCCTAGGCGCACACGCAGACACACACACACATGCACATACAGACACACACACAGAGACACACACACTCACACATGCACACTCACATGCACACACAGACACACCCATGCACGCACGCGCACACACCCACACACACCCTACTTTAGAAGCTTATCTGACCAAAAGCAAATGGTCAGCTGCCCCCTGGTTAAAACAGAAACCCCCTCAACAACCCTCTCCACCCCCAACTCCACCATTTGGTGCTATTTCAAATTCTAAGGCCATACTGCAAACTCCCAGAACTCCCCAGTCTCTGGGGACAGCAAGAAAACTCACTCACTGGCCTAGGACCCAGGGATATGAATTCTAATCCCATCCTGGCTACTAATTCATTCACTCAGAAAATATTGAGCAACTACTATGTGCCAGACTATTCGAGGCACTGGGCATACAGTGTGAGCAATTCAAGGTATGTCCTTGGTTTCCTGCACTTTCATTCCAGAGGTGGAACGGAGACACACGATGAAAATTAAGTAAGTGCAGAGAACTCGGGTAACGATAAGCATTACAGAGACAGAGAAACTGGAGAACGATGAGGAGAATAAATGGAAACTGGCATTTCAAATAGCGTAGACGAGGGGGTCTCTTGGGGTCACTGATATCTTACCTAAACCCCAGTAACTAGCTTGCTTTGTACCCCGGACAAGGCTTTTGCCCCTCTCTGTGCCTTGGTTTTTCTATCTGTACATGAGGACATTGCGCCGGCCAAGTCTGCCTTTCCATGATTCTGGGAATTATGGCAATAGCTTCCAGATGTGGTTGGAGAAGTAGGTTTCTTGCAAAAAGATCCAAAGTGGGAGACAAACTGACTCTCTTGTTGATGAATGACAGGATCACCTGAGAATCCATTCTCCCCACAACAGCAGCACACCCAGTTTGATGGGCTATTTGTTAGACTGTGAGCATCAGGGATAAGGAAGTCTGGAAGCCTTTCCTTATCTCCCAGCCACCTCCTGTCACCCTTTTACCTACCATTACCCACCCATCCCCCATTACTCGGTAAGGCACCCTATACATGGTAGCCTCTAATAAATGCACTGGGATTGGAGGACCCTCATTTCTGTAACCTCAGGAGCAATCAGAACTTTCTTAGGGGCCGGGCCCAGTAGCTCACACCTGTAACCCAGCACAATGGGAGGCCAAGGTGGGTAGATCACCTGAGGTCAGGAGTTCGAGACCAACCTGGCCAACATGGTGAAACCACATCTCTACCAAAAATACAAAATATTAGCTGGGCATAGTGGTGGACACCTGTAATTCCAGCTACTCAGAAGGCTGAGGCAGGAGAATTGCTCGAACCCAGGAGGTTGCTGTGAGCCGAGATCACACCATTGCACTCCATCCTGGACAACGAGAGTGAAACTCCAGAAAGAAAGAAAGAAAAGACAAAAGAAGAGAGGGAGGGAGGGAGCGGGGCGGGGAGAGAGAGAGAGAGAGAGAGAGATGAAAGAAAGGAAAGAAAAAGAAAAGAAAAGAAAGGGAACTTTCTTAGAACAATCTGAATAATCTGAATGGGCACTGGGTTTTCGTGACTTAGAACAGGAAAGACACCTAAAATGTTACTAGCCCATTGATTCCCAAGCTGACATCAGAGACTGTCGATGATAGACATGGGGAGAGGCAGTATCAGCCCAAGTGAAATGCTGTGGAAATGGTTCATTCTCCTCACCCTATCATAAGATAACCCTCTTTAAATGTCAAGCACCAGCACCACGAGCTTGGACTTTACCAAGTCAGCGTGGGGACCCCGGCTACTCCATGCTGCTCAGCATGCTTTTGATGAATAAAAACTGAGCAGATGAATTCATTACGATTTCGTAAACAAGGTGGGTTAGATCAACAGTCTCCTTCCTTAAAAGGGACTCACTGTGGGGAGAACAGGAAAGCAGGCGAGACGGCCTTTGATGCTGAAAGGTTGTGGCCACGATCTCCTCCATGCACTTGACCTTCGGATGGGGAGAGCAAAAGGGTTTCGTCCAGGTGTCCCTATGCCACCCGTCTTCTCCTCCCATCCCCAAGGTTGGGTGCAGAGGAAGCCTTTGTTTGGCTGAGAGGAGGGACTTGGGCAGGAGACAGTGAGGACAGGAAGCACAGCAGAGGCAGGAAGGAGGCCAGGAAGAGGCTGACAGGACCAGGCTGGCTCACACTCAGCCCTGCCAGCCTTCAGGAGAGCAACGTGGTATTTCTAAAAATATTTACAGTGAGTCTACATTAATGAGATATATATCAGCACTGACAATGGGAGGATGCAGGGCCAGGCCCTCCAGGGGAGAAGACCAGCGCAATCAGCCCAGAAGCTGCACAAAGGCAAGGGGAGCTTGGGGAAAGCCAGCCTTGCACAGCTAAAGGAGGAGATCAAGCCTTCCACCCTGGGGCTCGAACAAGCACCAGAGGCCACAATGCCCCATAAACCGGCCCCATAAACCTCCCTGGAACAGAAAACATTCCACATCCCTGGACCTGCCATGAGCATCTTCAACCTGCATCCCGATCCCAATGCAGTGCAGAAATCTCTACCGCACCCACTCTGAGGACCATCCAGCGGTCTCTTGAATACCTCTGTTGACCAGACACTCACTCCTGCCCCCAGCAGCCCATTTCCATTCCAGTCCTGGCATTCCTGCTCATTCAACCTTCAGAAGAGAAGAGTGGTTCAGAACAAAGAGGCTGGAGTCAGGTCACCACTTACAAGTCACTTTGCCATGGAGCACCAAGGAGTGTGATCATTTCAAGCCTCAGTTTTCTCCTTAAAATAGGGAGTCATTAGAGTCTCTACTGCCCCAGGGCTGATGTAAGGATTCAGCCAGGAAAAGGAGATAGGATGCAGAGAATGCCATGAGGGCCAACGTGCAAAGATGCGAAAGAAAGAATATGACATGTCCTAGGACTAACGTGAGATAAGGTTAAGAAAATTAGCCAATGCCATTTTGCTGCTGATACAGGGCTGCTGCAGAGCTAACCTTGAATTGTGCAGTGGGCGAGCCACTCGCCACGAGGCTGTGAAGCGCTGGAAATGTGGCCAGGTGGATGGAGGGGCACTGCAGGTGTAGAACACACACTGGGTTTCAAAGACTTCATAGAAAAAAAAAAGGGCCAGGCGCGGTGGCTCACGCCTGCAATCCCAGCACTTCAGGAGGCCGAGGCGGGTGTATCGCAAGGTCAGGAGATCGAGACCATCCTGGCTAACACAGTGGAACCCCCATCTCTACTAAAAATATAAAAATTAACCGGGTGTGGTGGCACGCGCCGGTAGTCCCAGCTACTCAGGAGGCTGAGGCAGGAGAATCGCTTGAATCCGGGAGTGTAGGTTGCAGTGAGCCGAGATCGTGCCGTTGCACTCCAGCCTGGGCAACAAAGCGAGACTCTGTCTCAAAAAAAAAAAAGAATATAATATATCTCATTAGTAATATTTTCTATTGATTCCATGTCGAAATGATAACATTTTGGATATATCAAAGTCAATATATTGTTAAAATGAAGTTTACTTCTTTGGTTTCCTTTACATTTTTTTTTTTAAATGGCGTCTTGCTCTGTCGCCCAGGCTGGAGTGTGATTTCACCTCACTACAACCTCCACCTTTTAGGTTCAAGCGATTCTCCTGCCTCAGCCTCCTGAGTAGCTAGGATCACAGGTATGAGCCACCATGCCCAGCTAATTTTTGCATTTTTGGTAGAGACAGGGTTTTGCCATATTGACAAAATGTCTGGATTTTTGGTCTCGAAAATCCTGATCTCAAGTGATCCGCCCACACTGGCCTCCCAAAGTGCTGAGTTTATAGGAGTGAGCCCCCGAGCCCAGCCTCCTTTACTTTTTCAGTGTGTCTCCTAAGAAAATTAAAATCACAGATGCAGCTTCTGCTATATTCCTGTTGGCTCATGCTGAGCTGAAGGATCACATCTAAGCCTTAGGATGCTCACTCTGGAGGCGCTCACTCTGGAGGCATCTTTGAGGGTGGGTCAGGATGGGTAGGTTCATTAGGAAACAGGTACAGTTTTTTATGTCAAAGGTCCATATTAAGGAGAGGACTCCAATTCCAATTTTCCAATCACAGGTAGTTTGTCACAAAGTAGAATCAAAGAGAGATGTGATTTCCCTCCTCCTGTAGTAATAGGTAATGTGTTACATCCTATTAGGTAAAGGGTATTACCAGGCACTGCAAAAGCACACTCAGATGCTTCTCCCTGATGTAAGTTTCAATGTCATCACTTACATGATCTCTGTCTTACAGATTGGTAAACTGAGGTTCAGAGAGTTACTTCACTGGCTCAGGGCCATGTGGCTTCTGAGTAATAAAAAGAGGATTTGAACCTTTGGCTTTGACTGTAGAAGCCTGAGAGCTCTACAGTCAGGATGTGTTTTCCCAGCATGAGGCCTTGCTTCTGCATTCAGACATGACCTACTGTTGCTTCAGTGAAGGGGGGACGGCACAGACATCTCGTAGATGGAACCCATCTCTCACAAGGACAATGAGATTGAGTGGAGAAAAATTCACGTAGGCTCACAGCTGTGATGATAAAAAGATAATTTGTAAAACCATCATGATTTGTAATTACTCATGACCCTTAAACATAAAGATCAAGCCACAAATAACTCCATAATAACAGCAATAACAATAGTAGTTAATAATGCTAGTAACTATTTACAATAGCAATGACTTGGAACCAACCCGAATGCCCATCAATGATAGACTGGATAAAGAAAACATGGCACATATACACCATGGAATACTATGAAGCTATAAAAAAGGATGCGTTCATGTTCTTTGCAGGAACATGGACGAAGCTGGAAGCCATCAGTCTCAGCAAACTAATACAGGAACAGAAAACCAAACACCACATGTTCTCACTCATAAGTGGTAGTTGAACAATGAGGACACATGGACACAGGGAGGGGAACATCACACACTGGGGCCTGGTGGGGAATGGGGGACTAGCGAAGGGAGAGCATTAGGACAAATACCTAATGCATACAGTACTTAAAACCTTGACGATGGGTTGATAGGTGCAGCAAACCACCATGGCACATGTATACTTATGTAACGAACCTGCAAAACCTGCACATGTACCCCAGAATTTAAAGTAAAATAAAAATAAACAAATAATAATAATAATAGTAATGGTTTTTATTTATTAAGTGCTTACTCCACTTCAGCAGGCACTGTTTTAGTAAAGGACCACAATTTTAAAAGTAAACTCTAGAAGCAAAAACGCCTGGTTTCAAATCCTGGTTTTGCCAGTATATGAAGCCTCAGTTTCATCAACTGCAAAATGAGGGCACCCGTATACAGCATTGTCAGAATTATGAGATACTAGGCTTAGATACCAGACTTGGGTTCCTGTCTGGCACAGGGCGAATCCTCGGTTAACAGTGCCTATTACAATAATCTCATTTAATCCCCACAATAACCCAATGGGTAGAGAGGATCAATAGTGATAATATTCCCAGTTCACAGATGCAGAAACTGAGATACGAAACAATAAGAAACTTGTCAAAATCCTTCCATTTCTCAGTATTGGAGATGGGATTCAGATCTTGGCGGGCCAGTTTGAGGATCTGCAGTCTTAGCTACCACAGTAGAGAGCTCCTAATCTTAAACAGTTTGTAAAGTCATATTTTTTTCTTATTTTTTTTTTTTTAAGACGGAGTCTTCCTCTGTCACACAGGCTGGAGGCTGGAGTGCAGTGGCGCCATCAATCTGGGCTCACTGCAAACTCCACCTCCCTGACTCAAGTAATTTCCCTACCTCAGCCTCCCGAGTAAGCTGGGATTAGAGGTGCACGCCACCACGCTCAGCTAATTTTTTTGGATTTTTAATAGAGATGGGGTTTCACCATGTTGGCCAGGCTGGTCTCGAACTCCTGACCTCAGGCAGTCCATCCACCTCAGCCTCCCAAAGTACCCAGATTATAAGCATGAGCCACCACGCCCAGTACTTTTTCTTATTCTTTTTTAATGATACTTACCACGTTCGTTCCTTGAAGTGTAGAAAGTGACTGCCCCACCTGCCCAAGGCTTTGACAGAAGCCAGTGGATGGTCCACAGCTCGGTGTGAGCACAGAGAGGTAGCTGCCCCGGATGCTGCAGGGCTTGGCTGATGAATGACCCATCAGTTTCAGGGTCCCGCGGGTCCACGGGAATCCAGCAGAAATCTACGCTTGCCAAGAAGGCACAACACTAGCGCTACAGCATCTCCCACTCTTAGGACTGCTCGAGGCCTGAGGATGGTTGGGGAGGAGGAAAGAACTGACCTGGCTGAGCCCGCTCAAGCACGGAGCTGCCTCCTGAGCCTGGCTGTTTGGCTGCTGTGTCCCGGACCCCTCGGTGATGCTGACCTCTGGTGGAGATGAGCTGCTCCTCAGCCTTGACCTCCCCCTGAGCTCCAGGAGTCCCAGAGCTGGCTTCCAGCCCTGCCACCGGGAGGCAGACCCTGCAGCCTGAGACCCCAGAGGGACCACCTAAGCCCAACCTCTCTCCTTCTTCCAGGGCCCTGTGGCATCTGGAATTGTCTACCCCGGAGCCTTAGGGTTCAGGGGCTAGAAGAACCCTTAGCAAAAGGAACTTACCCTGCTGATGATTCTGACGCTGAACACACCCTAGAACCCAGCACCGGTCCAGTTTCCGGAAGAATTAAGGCCTTGGCCTCCCCATCTACTTCGGTGTTTTGAGCTACGCATTCTCTTCTGAAATGTGGTTACACTGCACTGTAATAATACAATGTCATATTATGACACTGAGATAGAAAAAGAAATGTTCTTGTCTTATTATTTTCTCTTTGGGTGGTGCAGGAGTAAAACCAAGAGACGTTGAATCATCAATATAATTCATCACTCTTCTCAAGCGTGTCACTCTGTAAAGATAACATATGAACGAGAAAATGTTACCGTTTTATTAAGGAAAACTATGGACTAGGAAGAAAAGTTGCCTTTTTTTTTTTTTTTTTTTTTCTTTAAATAAGCTGACATTGATAAGAAAAAGTTGAGTCAAGTCCCCGGAGGCCGTAATCTCATTGCTGAGCACCTAGCGCCACCTTGTGGTTGCTCTCAGGACAGCCATCCCAGTTTCCACTCATTACCCACCACTAAAGACATTTATTGAGCATTTCTTAGGTGCCCTTTCACCTGTTTCTTTGCTGAGGCCCTTATCTGAATCTTTTATCTCAATGAACTTTGCACTGAACTATCTTTCGATACACTTACTAATTTTAGCATGGGGAAAAAGACGGCTACATAGTCGAGCTGGCCCAAGTTAGGTGTCTATGGAGATATTGTTTATCCATGAGCTCTCCCAGTTATTCCAGTGTCAGCCCTGAGACCCTAAAGGTCACCCGCAGACTTAACTAGTGAGATCTGTTAAAATGTGTGTGTATATTTTCCCTTCCCTCTTTCTGGAAATACATTTTCCTGTTTCTCAGGCAGCAGCCATTCTTGTAAGACAGGGGAACTTCAGCACACACAGGTTGGAATGGACACAGCTAATTAGTGGAGCAGACCCAGTAATTAGTGACTGAGCCAGATCCGGGGCTTCAGGGCTCTGTGAATCACTCAAAAAATGTCCACTGAGTCCTTCCTCTCTAGGGGACCCTATGCTAAGCTCAATGGTAAATCAAATCCACACCCAGGACTCTGCCCTGGAAAGACAGAGCCTTGCCAGGGAGAGGGGCGTCCACTAAAGAATGAGGTAAAAAAAGTAGAGCTGTGAACTGTGCAAAGTATTACAAGGAGAGTTATGTTCACAGACGGGATTTTTAGAGTCTGACTTTCAGAGACTTTAAAGGACTGGAAAAAAATCACGGCCCCCTCCATAATCTATTTTAAATGGAAACAAACGATTTAAAGATTGGTGTAAAGAAAGGCCCAAAAGGTTTATTTTTCCCATAATGTCGTCTTTGAAACTATCTTATGCTAAAAGGAATCAAATAGCATGTGATGAAAACTCAGAGTGACCTCGTTTCTCTAATGCCTGAAATAGATGTTTAGCCAGCCTCTTAGAGAATCCAAGAACAGATACACATATAACAGGTCACAAAAATTTGGAAAGACGTTCCTAAGAAAATGGTAACAGTGCTGAGAGCTACAGGATAAGAAGGCAGAAAGGTGAAAAGCGTGGCAAACAATTACAACAAGCACTGGGCAGAGCGTGTACGATGGTCCTGCAGAGGCTGGGAGCTTGAGAGAGCAGAGGCTGAAAGAAGGCAGGAGGCTGGAACAGAGACAATGAGGACCGTGTTGTAAGAGAAGACAAGGAGCCAGACCACATTCGGCTTTGTGGGACACCTTGAGCAGTTTTGCCTGTATCCTCCAAGCAATGGAAAGCTGTTGAAGGGTTTTCATTGGCAGCGCATGGTGACAGGATGCGGTTGGTGTCACACAAAACCACACTGGCTGAATGCCCAACGCGGATAGGACAGAAGACGAGCACCTTAGCCTAGTGCCCTAGTTTGTTCCGTGTTGCTATCACAGAATGGCAGGGACCAGGTATTTTATATGAATAGAAATGTATTGGCTCATGGTTCTAGAGACTGGGAAGTCCAGTGTCAAAGTGGTAGCCTCCAGCCAGGGCCTTCTTGCTGTGTCATCCCATGGCAGAAGGGCAAGAGAACACAAGAGAGCAAGAGGGCAAGAGGACCAGAGCCCAATAAGGCAACGTTAATCCCCAGGAGAGACGATAGGGGCCTGGATGAAGAGTGTGGTAGACAAATGCAGAGAAGTAAGTAGATTTGAGCAATATGTTGGATTGGGTATGGGTATAAGGAAAAGGGAGATGTCAGGATGTCTTGGACTTCTCACTTGCTGGAACTACATAAATATGGTGTGGCTGAACTGGTGAGCAAGGCCCAGTATCTGCTTTCTCCTTTCTCCTTCAGTGATTGCAACAGAGTCCTCTGACACGCCACTTCCAATCTCAGGCTCACTTACCTGTTTTTTTCAGCTCTGGGAGGGCTCTGATGGACCCAAAGCAGGCACAGTTTGATGGCTCCCTCCCCTCTGGCTCCCGCCATGCCCTTCTCATCTGCCACGTGAGCTTCTGCTGATATCACTGGACCTGGCACGGTGCCCATGTTTTGCATGGAAACCCAGAAAAGTGAAAGAGTCGGCACCCCACAGAAAAATGTTTTGACCAATGAGAGAAGCCACTGGAGAAATTCTTCCTGCATTCTCTCCCAGGGGCCTGGTCCCCAGAAACCATTTATACAACTTCATGTCTTGTTTCTCTAGATCGGTCTGTCAACACGGACCCTCGTATGAGCTCTCTCTCCTTTCTTCTTCACTCTGCTTGTTAGTTACTCCTATTTGGAAACCTTCAGCTCCAGACTCTGCTTTCCAGGAAACCCAGTGGTATGGTTTAAATATGTCCTGCAAAATTGGTGTGTTGGAAATGTAATCCCCAATGCAGCAGTGTTGAGAGGTGGGAACTTGAAGAAGGGATCAGGTCATTAGGGCTCATGGATGGAGTAATGGATGGATTCATGTCGTTGGATAGATCAATGCTCATAAATGGATTAATTCTATGACCTCAAAGTGAGTTAGTCATCATGGGAGTGGGTTTCCAATAAAAGAATAAGTCCAGCCCTCTTCCTTTCTCTTGCTCTCTTGTGTTCTCTTGCCCTTCCACCCTCTGCCATGGGACGACACAGGAAGACGTCCCTGCCCAGATGCTACCACCTTGACAGTAGATTTCCCAGTCTCCAGAACAATGAGCCAATAAATTTCTATTCAAATAAAATACCCAGCCCATGCCATTCTGTTATAGCAACACGAAACAAACTAGGACACTAGGCTAAGGTAGTAATAGAATATCCAAGTTTTAGCTAGGAACACACTACCCAGCTAGAGACTAGATGTTCCGGCTTCCCTCTCAACTACCTGCAGCCTTCTCAGTGTGATATGAACAAAGTGACATGTGCTTCTTCTGGGTCACATTCTTTAAAAAAGGAAATTGCTTACTCCTTATATCCTTTCTCTTTCCTTTCTCATATGGTGGAACATGGACGTCCTAGCAAGCCAGCTTTGACCGTGCAAATGAAGACAACTTCCAAAGGGAAGCAGAGCAGCCAGACGCTGTGTGCAGGAGAGCTGCCCCACCCGACAACTTCTGGCTTATTAACAGAAAGAAAAGGCCAGGCGCGGTAGCTCACCCCTGTAATCCCAGCCCTTTGGGAGGCTGAGGTGGGCAGACCGCAAGGTCAGGAGTTCGAGACCAGCCTGGTCAACATGATGAAACCCCGTCTCTACTAAGGATACAAAAAATTAGTCAGGTATGGTGGCACACGGCTGTCATCCCAGCTACTTGAGAGGCTGAGGCAGGAGAATCACTTGAACCCAGGAGGCGGAGGTTGCAGTGAGCCAAGATCACACCATTGCACTACAGCCTGGGTGACAGGGCGAGACTCCATCTCAGGGAGTGGGTGGGAAGAAAGAAAGAAAAATGACTGTTTTTAAATCACTGTCTCTCCGCCTCATATCTTACCCTGTACCGTAACTCACACTTAGGGAATGGTGGAACAAGACCTGACTTGAGTGCAGTTTGGGGCATGTTGCATTTGAGAAGGTTTTGAGAAATCTAAGTGAAGTAGCAATTGATCTGTTAGCTGTGAGCCCAGATTTCAGAGAAGGTCTGGGCTGAAAATACAAGTTTGTGAATAGACTCCCTATCACGCGTGCTGGTAATTAAAGCCTCTGTGTGTGTGTGGTGGTTTAGAGAGAAGGAAGAGAGTGAGAAGACAAGGTTGCCTATGGTGGGCAGCTTCCAAGGTGACCCCAGTTATCTGCACTTCCTGGTATTTTTGTCCATTTGCAATCTTCTCCACTTGAATGTGGGCTGAACCTAGTGACTCATTTCAAAACAATGAGTCACTAGGCAAAATGGCAAAAGTAATGGGATGTCACATCCAAGACTAGATGACAAAAATACTGACTTCCATCTTGAGTGCTTCCTCTCTCAATAAGTTGTTTTGAGAGAAGACAACTTTCATGTTGTTAGCTGCCTTGGGGACAGATCTATGTGGCAAGGGCCTGAGGGAGGCTTCTACCCAACAGTCAGTGAGGGACTGGGGCCCTTAGTCCAAGCTCTTGTGAAGAACGGAATTCTGCCAACTATCTGTGAGAGGGCTGGGAAGCAGATTCTACAATCCTTCTCAAGCTTTTAGATGACTGAGCCCCAGCCAACACCTTGCAATACCTAGACTGCAGCCATATGAAGCTCTAAGTCAGAAACATCTAGCTAAGCCACAGCCAGGCTCCTGACCCAGAGAAACTGTAAGGTAAAAAGTACCTATTGTTCTAAACTACTAAGTTTGGGGCGAATTTGCTTCTCAGCAATTAATAACTAAGACAGAGACCATGCAAGAGCCTGGAGGACCCCTTCCTTTAGCACCTGGTAGAGGAGAATGAGCCTAGAGCCTTACACATCAGGGCAATCCAGGTGAATGTCAAATGTCTTTATCCATTTTATGCTGCTATAAAGGAATGCCTGAGGCTGAATACTTTACAAAGATAAAGGGGTTATTTGGCTCATGATTTGATGGCTGGAAAGTTTAAGATTTGGCGTCTGCATCTGGTGAGGGCCTCAGGCTGCTTCCACTCATGGTGGAAGGTGAAGGGGAGCCAGCTTGTGCAGAGATCACATGGCCAGAGAGGAAGCAAAAGAGGTTGCTTCCTGGGATGGGATACAAGGCTCTTTTTAGCAACCAGCTCTTATGGGAATTAATGTACTGAGAAATCACTCGCCTCTGAGAAAGGGCATTAATCTATTTATAAGAAATCTGCCCTTATGACAAAACACATCCCATCAGGCCCCCACCTCCAACATTAGAGATCAAACTTCAACGTGAGGGCTGCAGGGGAAAAA